AGACTGTTCAACTGCCTCCCAGCATACATAGAGAGGATTACCAATAGACACCTGGCTGTCTTCAAGAGGCACTGGACAGGCACCTAAAGTCAGTACCTGACCAACCGGACTGTGGTTCGTACATCAGCTTGCATGCGGCCAGCAGTAATAACCTGGGTGATCAGACCCTGGTCCACCATGAGGCCCGGTCTCAGACTGGGCCACAGGGGCGTTGACCCCCAAAACCCTCTCCAGATAAACTCCAGGTAATTATACCATATCTGCCATTTTCCACCAAGAAAAAATTATTTTTTTGAACCCTGTGCCTATTTTCTATCTAGGTAGAGTAACCTAAAGAAGAAAACATATCACCATCCAGAAGAGAACAGACATTATTATTTTATTATTGCTATTATTAAAATTTAATACTAATACAATAACATTAAGCAGGCATATATGAGTGTTAGTGTGTTGAGAGACAAGCAATAGTCCTTGGGATTTGACATACTTTTGGTGTACTATGAAGGGAGATGGAAAGTACAGTACTATGCCTGCACTCTTAAAAGTCTGAGAGAGGGGAGGGATGTTGTGGCTCAGCAAGCCATCACAATTTGTGCCCTTCTGGAAAGGCAGCTAAGGGTCAATTATGATGTGGTTTTTTCTTCTTTGGGTCACCCAAAGGAAATAGTAGTAAAAATATCTTTAACACAAGCTATTTTATTACTTTTAATATTCTTTTTCTTTGTATTACTATTTTGCTAAAACTCAGACTGGAAAAACATACCTTTACTTTTGGGTAGAGAGCAAACAGCTGTCTCTGAACAACTTTTGGTAATGATCCAGATGAACACCAAGTGAAGTCCAAGATGGTGAAAAACTCACGCACGCCTAAAACCTCCCCACAGTCCTCAGCACCCCCACCACCACCACCTCCAAATACAGTGCTTCCATAGTCGACCACATATGCAGAGTAATTCTTCAAGCCAATTAATGGTACCATTAGCTCCATCCAGACTGTAAAAATAGATCAGTACTATTTATTGCATCCTCCATGGGAAAATGAAGAAGAATCCTTCCTCTGTAAGCCCTGCATGTGATCAGAGACATCTAAAATGTCAGGAGCAAGGAGTTATTAACCCCTTCTCCTGTATAAATTACTAAATGTGAGAAGAAGAAAAGCTTTCGTTTCTTCTTCTTCAGGTCACCCTGCCTTGGTGGAAGATCTATGTTAAAAAAATAAACCTATTGCACATCAACTTTACTGCAGTCCTATGTAGATGCAATAGAGATAAAATATTTTCTGTCTCAAACCACTATCATTTATATCTATCTATTCTTTTTAAGTTTTCCCATTTAATTAATTAAACAGGAAACCAGGAATGTGGAGGGCTAAGTTGATATAAGTGGTAGAGAAAACTCTGTCAGCATGCTAAGGATATAACAAGCGAGAGAGATGAGCCATGAAGACTTGCCCTAGTATTTACATAAGTATGTCAAACATAGAACATGAGAGCCCCCTGGGGTGTCAGTGACTGTGCAGTGCTGAACTCCGAGTACTTTGTGGAACTAAATGTTGAGGGAAGAATGGAAAATGGAGGGCGTGAGAAGCCAGACTTTCGATAAGGGAGTCTTGCAGGGATGTGGGAATTCCTGAATATAGTGCACTGGGAAAAGGCACTGGAAGGAAAGTCAGTATTTGAGATGGAGTACATATATAGAAAGTGTGAGGCAGAGGAAAGCTTCATACCCAAAAGGTGAATGGGAAATAGCAAAGATAAATGAAGCCCTTGGTTTAACCAGAGATACAGAGGCAGAAAAAGAATGATATAAGTGTGAAAAAACTATAGAAAGTGAGGCACAGATGAAAACTGAGAAATTAACAGATTAACCAGAAACGAATATGCAAGGCTGGGAGAAAATTTAAGAATAACATAGCAGCTAAGTCTGAACCAAAACTGCTTCACAGCCATATCAGAAAGACAACAGTAAAAGACCAGGTAATTTAACTCAAGGAGGAAAGCTTATGGGAAATGACAAGGAAGTCTGAGGTGATGACTGAACAAACGATTCAAAGTGGCCTTCTCAGTGGAAACAGGCAATGCCAGAAATCCTAGGAAACGAGTACACCAGCAGGTATTGGACACCATACACACAACACTGGAAAAGGTGTAAAAAACACTTATGATGGAGCCAGATAGATTCAACTATCAGTACTACCCTACAAAATATGCAGAAGTCAGTAATTTGGCCAATTTTACACAAAATTAAGAAAAATCCAAATAAAAGTCAAAACTAAACACTTTTGACATTCCAGGTACTAAAACATTTAATCTGCTTATTAATCACATTTCCAGGCCTCTCCTATATTATCACATAAAACATCAAAGATTTACCCCATTTCTCGGATAATAAAATATAATGAGGAATGATTGGTCATGGTTTATGGCATCCCAATAATTAAATCAGACCCATTAAAAACCCATAAAACAGACCAGGGAAGGGTGTAGGGAGGCCTTACCCTTCCTCAGGAAAATTGGCAAAAACTGAATATTTCCACTACTTTGAGCCCAATTTAAAGTTAGTTCCAGTACTGAAACCTACCAAAATCATCTATTTCAATAGAATATCTTCCTATCAACTGATACCAAGAAAAAGCCAATAAAACTATAAAAACCATCCCAGAAAATATCAAACTAAACTCTAGGTCCGAGTTTTGTTTTCCCCATCATACCTTCAGAAAAAGGACACTCTATTTCAGCCAGAAGATAATTTTTTTTTAAATCGCAACACTGTCAGCACTTTTAATTTTGGGATCACGACAGTGAATGGGTTAATAAGAGACATGTACAATTTCCTTTAAATATTCCATCCAGGGAGTGTCTAAACAACTGGTAAGTGTTCTCTAGAGCCTAATTTATAATATTTTGAAGCAAGCCAGTCACTCTGCCTTGGGAAAAACAACCACTGAAGCAAATGAAAAAAAACTAAATGTTGATTTCCCTACAAGAGGAAGGGAAGCAGTTAAACGAGTCGGAAAACTGTGTGGAAAGCATGAGTTACCTAAGCACGCGTACACAATAAGGAAAGTAGAATTATATCTACTTCCCTTAACTGTAGCTCTTCCATGGATAACCAAAGCTACCTTTTTCTGCTATAAATAAATTAATTTTATGGTACATGAACTGAAGTCCTTTAACCCTTAACCCTCTGACTGTTTACGTCGTATATATACGTCTTACTCACCACTGTTTCCGACATATTTATACGCGTAAATTGTAGCGGCTTCAAATCAAGCAGGAGAAAGCTGGTAGGCCTACGTGAGAATGGGTCTGAGTGGTGGGTGTGCACCCTGTGAAAAAAATCTGGGACTGAGTGGTGCATTGTGGGAACGCCATCTTGGTAGTCTATTTTCACCACGCCTCACAGTAAGAAGTACCTCACTCCTCGGTGGATTGGAGGTCTTTTGTTCCCAAGTGATAGCTCTAACAGTGATGGAAGTGTCAGTGAAAGTGAATTCCATGGTTTTCAAGCGGTTGTGACCGAAAAAAGTGCCCAGGATAACGTAATTAGTGATGAAAACCCAGATGACCCACGACCTTACACCTCTGGTGCTGGGCCGGCTCGTTCATGTTCACCTGTACCAGGACGAAAGAGGAAACTATTTGCCCATGTACAAGGCTCAGATGTGAGCAGTGAAAGTGATAGCAATAGTGATTTCAAAGTTATTGAAAGCAGTTCTAGTTGTAACAGTGAGGGTGAATATTCCCCAGTGAAGCGGCAGTATATACGACGTAGCATTCGGTCTGGTAGCGTTTCATATGCTGTTCCAAGGGAAAGGAGTAAATCTCGGAGCACATCCCGTGGCCCTACACCACGACCTGATAGTGAAGATGACGATATTGTTACGATGGGTATGAATGATGTGAGTGAGGCAGCAGGCGGTGGTGGTGATAGTGATGGTGGCATGAGTCATGTGGCACCGGCAACAGGCCACGCTACTACCCATGCTGCTGACTCTGCACAACCAGCCTCACCCAACCCCACACTCCCACAACCTGCACAACCACGTTTCAATATCCAGAACCCACCAGCAGACCGCATCTGGGATTGGCAGGAAGGCAACGAGTTTGTTCCCAGTCCCCATGACTTTGATGAAACACAAAGTGGAATACGGTCATCGTGTACACTTGGGAACAATGCTACTGAACTGGAATACTTTCAGTTATTCTTCGGTGAACCCCTGATGGACATTATTGTCAGGGAAACCAACACACACTATGAGTACACCATGGCAAATACAATTCTCTCACCAAGATCACGGCTACACCAGAGGAAGGACACAACTGTGGGAGAGATGTACCTGTTTTTTGCCGCAATAATGCTTATGCCACATGTGTATAAGCAAACAGTCAACACATACTGGTCAACAGAACGCCTGATTTCAACCCCAGGTTTTAGTGACATTATAGGTGTGAACCGTTTCTTGATACTGTTACGTATGTTACACTTTTCATACAAAACAAAGTCTGACAGAAAGGACAGGTTATATAAGATCAGAAATGTGTTTATGCACCTGAAGCAAAAGTGTTGCATGTATTTTTATCCCTTCAGGAAGCTTGTTATTGACGAGTCTTTGATTTTATTCGAGGGAAGACTCTCATTCAAGCAATACATACCAAGCAAGAGGAAACGCTTTGGTATAAAGTTATTTGTACTGTGTGATTGCAAAAGTGGTCTCGTTTGGATATCGTGTACACTGGCAGTAATACACTGAGAGATACCAGGAAGTTATTGGGTATCTCTGGTGATGTGGTTCAAACAATGATGGAACCATACCTTGGTAAGGGGCATATATTATTTACTGATAACTGGTACACAAGCCCCATACTCAGTGATTTCTTGCGAGTGAACCTGACAGATGTGTGTGGCACAGTGCGTGGTAATCGTAAACATATGCCAAGGTTCGACGTTTGCACTCGCAGAGGTGAGATGCAAGCCTTTGCTGCCAATGACATCATGGCATTTTGGTGGCATGACAAACGTGATGTCACATTGTTGACATCAGTTCACCGAAACGAAATGGTACACACTGGCAGGCAGAATAGAGAGACCAATGAACCCATTCTAAAACTTGCAGCTGTCATGGACTACAACCTCAATTACCAACACATGCCATCTCGTTTGAGGCCTGGTGATCACTACCCCATACAACTGCCTCCTACTGCTTTCAAGAAAAGTGCTCAGAAGAGGTGTTTTGTATGTGGACATACAACAAAATGCCCACAAACATGCAGAGACGCTCGTTTTATGTGTGAGAAGTGTCAAGTGCCACTCTGCATATACCCATGTTTCAAAGAGTTCCACAAGCTGCAACAGTTCTAGGAAAGTGTTCAGTGACTGTACATATGTATATACATATTATGGAACAATAGTAATAAACAATGTTTTGTATTGTTTGTTTGTGTAAAAAAGTTTTATACACAAACTAATAGTGATAATGTTTGTTCGGTTATTGTGTTGTAAACAATGAGTGTATATTTGAACAATGCACCTTACTTTGTTCTCACAGGCCACGTAAGTTACTTAGAAAAGAAAAATACTGGAAAATACAAGAAACCTTCTAATTGGAGTAAATAAAAGAATACCGGGTGAGCGGCATTCGCCACTGTTGCCATACATCGCTCATTTTCTGCCAATTTTACACCTCTGTATCTCGGTAAGTACTGATGGCAAAAAAATAATTTTAGGCTTAAAACACTCAGTAAAATAATCCTAACATTTTGGTAAGAAAAAATAATTTTTTTTTTTTGAATATTTTGCGACAAAGAATGACAGTTTCAGAAAGGAGCCTGAGACAGTAAAAGGGTTAAACTGTCCAAACGTAGATCTACACTGATGTGCGTAGTGCTCCGATCTACGATTTATTTTACATGCTTTCAACCTTGGCACAATAGGCCTGAGTTGCCTAGACATGAGAGAATGGGTCTGTGCACTCAGTATGACAAAATTCGGGGATGCTGGGAAAAATGCGCTTTTCATTAAAAAAAAAAATAATAATAAATCCCCAAAATATTCAGAGCGCTACGCAGCTGGATGTAGCTCTATGTTTGGACAGTTTAAGGGTTAAATCTATTAACTATCTTTGTATGTGAAGTCAATTAAAAATTCCTTATGAATTTCAATACATGTATTAGTCATTTTAATGGAAAAAGACAAATACACACCCACCTTTCAATCCAACAGTGAAGTCATCTAGACCTGACTGTCCAACAGCCCACAATAGAGAAAGACAGGCAGGAGTCTGATTCTGGATACTGTTTCGTAGATCACAATAATAAGGCAAATTCACCATGCCCACATGTGCGTGGTCAATTGATAATATCTGAAAAAATAAATTCAGAGTTCACCCCCACAAAATAATCAGGTTACTAATACAGTACAGTACTCATGTAACCAGCGTAAGTTTTTTTTTTTATTAACACATCGGCCGATTCCCATCACGGCAGGGTGGCCCGAAAAAGAAAAACTTTCATCATTCACTCCATCACTGTCTTGCCAGAGGGGTGCTTTACACTACAGTTATAAAACTGCAACATTACACCCCTCTTTCAGAGCGTAGACACTGTACTTCCCATCTCCAGGACTCAAGTCCGGCCTGCTGGTTTCTCTGAATCCCTTCATAAATGTTACTTGGCTTACACTCAAACAGCACGTCAAGTATTAAAAGCCATTTGTCTCCATTCACTCCTATCAAATACGCTCATGCACGCTTGTGGAAGTCCAAGCCCCTCGCACACAAAACCTCCTTTACCCCATCCCTCCAACCCTTCCTAGGCCGACCCCTACTGCGCCTTCCCTCCACTACAGATTTATACACTCTCAAAGTCATTCTGTTTTGTTCCATTCTTTCTACATGTCCGAACCACCTCAAGAGCCCCTCCTCAGCCCTCTGGATAATAGTTTTGGTAATCCCACGCCTTCTCCTAATTTCCAAATTATGAATTCTCTGCATTATATTCACACCACACATTGCCCTAAGACATGACATCTCCACTGCCTCCAGCCTTCTCCTCACTGCAACATTCAACACCCATGCTTCACACCCATACAAGAATGTTGGTACAACTATACTCTCATACATTTCCCTCTTTGCTTCCACGGACGAAGTTCTTTGTCCCCACAGACTCCTAAGTGCACCACTCACCCTTTTTCCCTCATCAATTCTGTGATTCACCTCATCCTTCATAGACCCATCTGCTGACATGTCCACTCCTAAATATCTGAATACATGCACCTCCTCCATACTCTCTCCCTCCAATCTGATATCCAATCTTTCGTCACCTAATCTTACTGTTATCCTCATAACCTTACTCTTTCCTATATTCACTTCTAATTTTCTTCTTTTACATACCCTACCCAATTCATCCACCAACCTCTGCAGCTTCTCTTCAGAATCTTCCAAAAGCACTGTGTCATCAGCAAAGAGCAACTGTGACAACTCCCACTTTGTGTTTGATTCTTTATCTTTTAACTCCATACCTCTTACCAAGACCCTGGCATTCACTTCTCTCACAACCCCATCTATAAATATATTGAACAACCACGGTGACATCACACACCCTTGTCTAAGGCCTTTTTTTTATTATTATTATTATCACACTGGCCGATTCCCACCAAGGCAGGGTGGCCCGAAAAAGAAAAACTTTCACCATCATTCACTCCATCACTGTCTTGCCAAAAACTGTAGCGTAAAGCACCCTTCTGGCAAGACAGTGATGGAGTGAATGATGGTGAAAGTTTTTCTTTTTCGGGCCACCCTGCCTTGGTGGGAATCGGCCAGTGTGATAATAAAATAATAATAAAATCCATTTGTTCTCTAGGCTTCCTCAACTTATTAATCTCACTCCAAAACTTTTTCGTATTTTCAACAAAATTTGTTAACATCACACTCACTCTCTCATTTGCTCTCTTTTTACATTGCTTCACCACTCTCTTAACCTCTCTGTTTCTCTCTATATACTCTTCCCTCCTTGCATCACTTCTACTTTGTAAAAACTTCTCATATGCTAACTTTTTCTCCCTTACTACTCTCTTCACATCATTATTCCACCAATCATTCTTCTTCCCTCCCGCACCCACTTTCCTGTAACCACAAACTTCTGCTGAACACTCAAACACTACATTCTTTAACCTACCCCATACATCTTCGACACCATTGCCTATACTCTCAATAGCCCATCTATCCTCCAATAACTGTTTTTATCTTACCCTAACTGCCTCTTCTTTTAGTTTATACACCTTCACCTCTCTTACTTACTGCTTCTATTTTCCCTGTATCCCATCTACCTTTTACTCCCACTGTAGCTACTAGAAAATTATTTGATATATCTGTGGCCCCTCTATAAACATGTACATCCTGAGGTCTACTCAACAGTCTTTTATCTACCAATACATAGTCCAACAAACTACTATCATTACGCCCTACATCATATCTCGTATACTTATTTATCTTCTTTTTCTTAAAATACATATTACTTATAACTAAACCCCTTTCTATACAAAGTTCAATCAAAAGGCTCCCATTATCATTTACACCTGGCACCCCAAACTTACCTACCACACCCTCTCTAAATGTTTCTCCTACTTTGGCATTTAGGTCCCCTACCACAATTACTCTCTCACTTGGTTCAAAGGTTCCTATACATTTGCTTAACATCGGTTCCTATACATTTGCTTAACATCTCCCAAAATCTCTCTCTCCTCTCTTCTCCAGGTGCATACACGCTAATTATGACCCACTTTTCACATCCGACCCTTATTTTAATCCACATAATCCTTGAATTTACACATTTATATTCCCTCTTCTCCTTCCATAACTGGTCCTTCAACATTATTGCTACCCCTTCCTTAGCTCTAACTCTCTCAGCTACTCCTGACTTAATCCCATTTATTTCTCCCCACTGAAACTCGCCTACTCCCTTCAGCTTTGTTTCGCTTAGGGCCAGGACATCCAATTTCTTTTCATTCATAACATCAGCAATCATCTCTTTATCATCTGCACTACATCCATGCACATTCAAGCATCCCAATTTTATAAAGCTTATCTTCTTCTGATTTTTAGTAAATGTGTACAGGAGAAGGGGTTACTAGCCCATTGCTCCCGGCACTTTAGTCACCTCATTCGACATGCATGGCTTAAGGAGGAAAGATTCTTTATAAACTGCAAAATACCTTATATGCTTTAATTCGTAAAATAAAGGACATCTGATTTTCTTCACTGAAAGTGTTGCTTTATCAATACTGTAGCATCTCAATGAAAATATGCTTTCATCAATTTTTTATAACATGGTAGAATGTGTTTATATTGTGAGAGTATTGTATTGCATTGCATTTCATGAATTGGTAAACTCATGTGGGTCATTTATAGCAGGAAGCAGGAGGCTCGACCCTTCATTCACTGATATCATGTCCTCTTGTAGCTTCATATAAGGTAAAGAACTATCCTTGTATATAATACCCATAACTTGACTGTTATAGCCATATTCCCTCTAATTTTCCATTGTGCCTCAGTTTCTGTATGCCATTCATATATTTGTGAGCTTAGTATGTCCTGTTGATATTGTTCTGTTCATGTGCTATAGAGAACAGGTACAGGAGGGTCCTGCTTTTATAGCAGGTTATGTTCCGGGCTACTGCTGTAAAGCAAAAATTGCTATAAAGTGAAACTTTATAGCACTTTCAAATGCATATATAAGCCTCATAACATGTTTACACTATCATACATTAAGTATGCAATAGAGCTAGGCCTAAAAAATGCATATACAGTACACACATTATTTAAAATATTTTCATCCTTAGCTTATTGTGACTGGTGAATATATTGTAAGAAGTCTGAATAAATGAAGAACTCGTAAAACTGAAAACTGCTGCATTAGCAAAATGCTGTAAAGCAAAGCTCTGTAAAGCATGGCCTGCCTGTATAAGGTAATGATTATTCATAAATCTACCTCTAACAAACTGAAACTTACTCCACTAGTGGTAACTCTTGGTTTCTGTCTCTTTGTATGCTTGCAACTATTTCTTTACATTATGATGTATAACAACATACAGTGGAATCTTGGTACTCGAATAGCTCCGTACTCGAACAATTCGGTATTCAAATGCTTTGTTCGGTAAACAAATCACTCAGTGGTCAACCATTTGCTCGGCACTTGACCAAACAAACACGACCTGCCAGAAGTTCGCTATAAACTATTTCATGTTTCTTTGCATTTTTTTTTTTTATATTATTTGTATAAGTAAGTTACCATGGGGACTAAGAAGGTTAGTGATAACAGTTAACCAAAAAGAAAATTGGTTTGGAAAAATTTGTTCTGTACTCCAACAGCCTTCTGGAACCAATTAAGTTCATGTGCCAAGGTTCCACTGTACAATGAAGATATTTCATCTCATGCTTATAAACAAACTCAGGGGAGAGTGAATTATTCAATGTGCAGACACCAATAAAAAAAAAAAATCGCCACCTAATCTTTTTATCACCTGGATTTGTCCATTTCGAGGTAGGATGATAGTTTTGAAATCTGAAGAGTTCTTTTAACTGTGTAGATCAGTGCTCTTTGCAATAAAAATTAAATACCAAACCCACCCACCCATAATAAAAACAAATAAGTATTATCACACACAGTTAAAATAAGCACCATTAGTTAAAACCCATTACATTGTTAACACCAAAAGATTCCTCTAAAAATTCCCTAAAATCCCTACAGGTACCCCAGTATTTATAATAACCATGATGAAAGTAAAAAGGCCTATGCCAAAGGTAAAAAAGTTAATGTGTGTTCCTCAGTCAGCTGCCCACCACAACCTATCAAGAGGAAAGGGAGGAAAGGAGCACCTGCAAACAGGTGGCTATGCATGAAATGTGTGTGCCCAATCATCATTTGACGGAGATTTTTTTTATCAGTGACAATTCCTGTTGAAGGAGGAGGACCTAACCCTGAATAATATTTCAAGAGGCAAAATGAGTCATCAGACTTAGTACATTAAAAGAGCATTTCTTAAAAAAACTATTCTATACTGCACCAATTGCAATAAAAACATTTATATTGCATTTAAAAAATGTTTCTAAGGATCTATAACAGAATGCACAAATAAGGAATACAAAAATGGAAAGTATATCAGTTACAAAAATCTTAAGATAACCACAGTAATATTTACCTGAATGAATACCTTGTATCCTGCCACACCCAGACCTTTTACTTGCTCATGTACCATAGAAGTCAAACAGTGCTTATGAAATGCTGCCAACACATTATCATTACAAGTGGACAGTGTTTTTATCAGTAGCTGCAAATCAAATGGAATTTTTTTTAATAAATTTTATCATCTGTTGCAAATGCTATTTCCCAATTTCAAAGCATTAAAAGACTACAGAAAAATATTTATTTTGGGACTATCACCAAACATTCAAATAATCAACACCTGTGCGAGAAGCTCAATATAGTGGACCCTCAACCAGCGATGGCATAGATTAACGATAAATCTGACTAGCGATACATTTTAACGCAAAAATTTTGCCTCGACTAGCGCTTAAAAACCTGACCAACGCTATTCTTTCCGTTCAAGACGCGTCCACTTTGGCCTGAGCATGCCCCACTTGTCCCATGGGTGCCAAGCAGGACGTACATTACTCAGGAGGAAAAGGCACTCCCAGGACATAAGCCTATGAAAGACAGGCTTACTCTGTTGATGTGTGCCAATGCTAGTGGTGATTGCAAAGTGAAGCCTTTATTGGTGTATCACTCTGAAACTCCCAGTGTGTTCAGGAAAAACAATGTCGTCAAGGCTAATTTGTGTGCTGTGGAGGGCAAACAGTAAGGCATGGGTCACCAAGGAGTTTTTCTATGACTTTTTACACCATGCATTTGCCCCCAATGTGAAAAATTACCTAACTGAAAAGAAATTAGACCTTAAGTGCCTCCTGGTATTAGACAATGCTCCTGGTCATCCTTCAGACTTGGCAGAGCGACTTTCTAGGGACATGAGCTTCATTAAGGTGAAGTTTTTGCCTCCTAATACCACTCCTCTCCTGCAGCCCATGGACCAGCAGGTCATTTCCAACTTCAAGAAACTGTACACAAAAGCTATGTTTGAAAGGTGCTTTGTAGTGACCTCAGAAACTCAACTGACTCTAAGAGAGTTTTGGAAAGATCACTTTACCATCCTCAATTGTGTAAACATTATAGGTAAGGCTTGGGAGGAAGTGACTAAGAGGACCCTGAACTCTGCTTGGAAAAAACTGTGGCCAGAATGTGTAGACAAAAGGGATTTTGAACGGTTTGAGGCTAACCCTGAGAATCCTATGCCAGTTGAGGAATCAATTGTGGCATTGGGGAAGTCCTTGGGGTTGGAGGTTAGTGGGGAGGATGTGGAAGAGTTGGTGGTGGAGGACAATGAAGAACTAACCACTGATGAGCTGCTAGATCATCTTGAACAGCAAGAGGGCAGACCTGAGGAAACTGCTTCGGAGGAGGGGATAGAGAAATGAAGAAGTTGCCTACTTCTAAGATTAAGGAAATGTGTGCAAAGTGGCTTGAAGTGCAAACCTTTATTGATGAAAATCACCCTGACACAGCTACTGCAAGCCGTGTTGGCAACCTGTACACTGACAATGTTGTGAACCACTTTAGGAAAGTCATAAAGGAACGAGAGTACAGGTATCTATGGACAGACATGTTGTGCAACAGAAGTCCAGTGACTCTGAAGCTGGTCCTAGTGGCATTAAAAGAACAAGGGAACTAACCCCAGAAAAAGACTTGCTACCTCAAGTGCTAATGGAAGGGGATTCCCCTTCTAAACACTAAGAAGATCAATGTTTTCCCCTCCTCCCATCCCATCAATCATCACCAGATCTTCAATAAAGATAAGTGTCATGTAACTGTGCATGTCTTTCTTCAGTTTGTGTGTATTAAAATTAATATTTCATGTGGTTAAAAATTTTTTTTTCAATACTTTGTGGTGTCTTGCACGGATTAATTTGATTTCCATTATTTCTTATGGGGAAAATTAACTTGACTAACGATTATTTTGATTAACGATGAGCTCTCAGGAACGGATTAATATCGCTGGTTGAGGGTCCACTGTATACTGTATGCCAAAATATGTTTTACTTTAAAGATAGGAGAAAAACAATATGTGCAAAAGTAATAACTAATATTTAACATCAAATAATTTTCAATCCACTGAGCAAAATGCAGTGTACCTCAAAGTTTGAAGCTGGTAATGAACATTAGTTAAACTCTAGGTGAATATACGTAGTTTTCTACTTGGGTGACTGTCACAAAAGTAGCCCCACATGCCTATTTAATTAACCACACTAAACCTCAGCTCCCCAAAGTACCATTAAAAGGCATGTGTTAATTAAACCAATATTAAGTGAAAATATAATTTCAGATTCCTAACCTAAATTAGGGATTTTATTAAATGTGTAGTTACAAATATTGTAGTGTACAAACAAAGAAACCTTACCATTTTGACATCTGACCTCAACAGGGATGCTGGAAATGAAGTCGGGTGACCTCTGAAAGCGGGATCTGGTTGGTGGATTGGATTAACACGTACATTTAGGTATGAAGCCAAGTCCCTTCAACCAAATAAGGGGAGACTCTTGAAAACGTGACATAACCACATCTAGGAGATTTTGCATCTCTCCTACATTCAACTGTTTAGAAATAAATAGGAAATTATTAAAAATTTTTTGTCTTATAATAATTTATCACTTTTGAATGCTTAAGCTGTTTAGGTAGGTAGGTACTTTCAAGATGTAAGAATGCTCTGGTAATCAATAATAAATACAACACAAGAACTTTCAGGGTAAAACTTGCAAACAATAAAAATTATTAGCATAAATAAAGCATCCAACACAAATGAATACTATCACATCAAGCAAAAAACAACTAATAGCAGTAAAAAAATCCCATTAAACTGTAATGTCAAAAGTGTTATGGGTGAGGTGTATCCAATCCACAATAAATGGAATTGTCTGAAAGTGACAACTCCTATTAGAGGAAGGTCTTATTCCAAAATCCTGAACCCTGTATAACTTGTTTCTCATCTGCAGGTCCACAAGGGCAACCACTTTACAAGGACATATCTATTTATCCAATAAGATCACAGTAACAAGTGATATGGAAATAAATGGTATAAAATACAGACACAATGGAAATATAAACACTTAAGCAGTATAATGTGATCCTTTATTGCCAACATTTCACCCATGCAGTGGGCTTTATCAAGTCACAAATAGATCTGTTTGTGACTTGATAAAGCCAACTGTGTGGGCAAAACATTGTCAATAAAGGATCACATTATACTGCTTAAGTGTTTATATTTCCAAAGTGATACCATAATATGCAAAATAACCACTGTGAAAAAAAAATAGTAAACTTCTAAGCACTTTTATTTCTCACATCAAGGTACAGTTCCTTGATAATGTGAGAAATCATGAAAGTTCTTGGAAGTTTACTATTTTTTCACAGTGGTTGTTTTGCATACCTATTTATGTACATGGCCCATGAAGTCACTATAAGGAAGAGGTCTATTGCAGAAGCTCATTACAGCAGCCTCTGCCTCAGGATCAGCCCTTTTATTTCCCAGAACACCAACAGAACATCCTTATGCTGCACGTGGAGATGGAATAACCACTCTTGGATCTTTTGGTCCACAGGGTAGACAGACTGGGCCAGGGCAAACAGAGCATATTGGAAACCTGAGCAGACAGTGATCCAAGCTCCAAGTAAGACAGTTATCAGAATAAGAGCAGCAAGGACTGATTGGACCCTCACAGTGAACATAGAGGATTCATTTGATAGCTGTGCACGAGTTCTCGTGAGCAATCACCACAAAACCAACACCACCCTCACTCCTTGACCCATCAGTAAAGACCTTTATACTTCAAGTACAAGCAAAATCATACTTCAGGAAATTAGCTGGGGCTCGATACTTAGGGATCCCATCCACTGCTGTTTTGCTGAATGTCTGAGGAAAGTGGAAGTGTTTAAGAGCTTTGGGCCTGCCCATATGCAGGCCTACCCATTGAATTTGACTGTTAGTGAGATCAGCTGAGCACTGTAATGACCATGATGACGGACCACAGCTAACTTGGTTGGAAATCGAATTACTGTGCTACAACTAGTGATAATAATTATTCTGTTTGAAGTCATATTTCAGAGGCCTGCCTATGACCTAGGTCCCTGCTTGCTTACATACTCAGCCGTTTGCCTTAATCAATCTACGGTGTAAAGGCAGATAACACTAGCCCAGATGAGTGAGGAATATGCACTTAATTTAGCCCTTGACTGCCTCAAAATTCCTTAGGTCACCATGCTAGCTGGGGTGCCACAAATATCTACAACCCTTTGAGTGGAATTTAGATGACTTCTGCCGAGAGGGAGTGTCTCAACATTTCCTTACGAGGGAAAGCATCAGGTGCTCCAGAGGATCAGCACTCCTTGGATTGCTGCATGGACTCTGCTTTTGTCTTCTAACCTATCTTAGGACCTGAAGACAACCCAGACCTTGGAAGTTGAAGCATCCAACATGTTGCCCTGGCTGAAGCAGAGGACCAGCACTCCTGCCTGCTTCTGTACAATCTGGAACCAACGGGTCCCCAGAGGGGTAGATCAGTTGCAAGCCATCAGCTTAGGGAAACTTAAGTCAGCTCCACTGATCGGGCCCACCCCAGAGAAGCTAGTTCTCCTATGCACCTCCATGGGGACCTCTTTGGAAGTCTCCACCAACCTCTAAGCCACCTGGAGATGATAAGTAGCAGGCAGGTAAGGCAGGCGATTACCTGGACAGGTTGGTGGGGGCCACTAGCAAGGTGCCCAGAGGGGAAAGGCTCTGTTCTACTGAGGACCCCTTAGCAGCAGGGATCGTGCAACTAAAAGCAAGGGCTGCATAAGATTAGACATGCTGCAGCAGTCATTCCTCATACTGGCCTCTGAAAAAATAATTTTCTCACATACATACATAAATGTTAAAAAAAAAAAAAAAAAAGTGGGCAAAAGTCAAAAATTTAAGAATTTGTATTTTCTTACCCTGCATATTGCCTCCTCAACAGTACCAGGCTGATGTGGACCAGAATTAGTTTTCTTTTCTGTTTTTTTCTTCTTTGGTGCACTAGCAGCTTTGGATGACTTTGGCTTGCGGTTCTCCTTGCCAGTCACCCCTCTCTCAATTCCTCCTACAGAAATATTCAAGGCATTTATGGAAGATATTTACTAATTCATCTAGAAATGTATCTTTAAATGGTGTTATTTTTATTTGTCAAACAATGCTACATACATAGAAGAAAAAATGTTAACTTTAACTTACGATATCTGTTCTTTACCTGGGAGCCAGAAGGTATATATACATATACAGTGGACCCCCGACTTATGATATTAATCTGTTCCTGAGAGCACATCGTAAGACGAATTAATTTTCCCATAAGAAATAATGGAAATCAAATTAATCCGTTCAAGACATCCAAAAGTATGAAAAAAACTTTTTTTTTACCACATGAAAATATACATTTTCTTACACACAAAAAGGTTACATGCACAATATATACTGTGCATGTACTAGTGTCTAAATGAAGAATAAATGACACTTACCTTTATTGAAGATGTGGTGATGAGTGATGAGACACTGTTTGTGTCCTGGGAGTGCCTTTTCCTCCTGAGTAATGTAGGTCCTGTTTGGCATTTTCTTCCAGAACAGGCCTTATCACACTGCGTATGCCACTTTGATTCTTAAATCTCTCAAACCAACCTTTGCTGGCCTTAAAATTTTCCAATATGAGCACTAGTTCCAGGCATTTTTTCCTGTACACCTGGGTGTTAGTCAACTGGTGTGGGTCGCATTTTGGGGGACAAGATTAAGGACCCCAATGGAAATAAGTTAGACAGTCCTTGATGACACACTGACTTTCTTGGGTTATCCTCAGTGGCTAACCTCTGGGGTTTAATGGTTTCTTAGTATTCTCGATAAGCCACACCAACAACAGTTTCTCCACACTGAGTGTACAGCTGACCATGGTACAGCAGCAGCAGCTGCTGCCCATGGTACGATAGTATTTCAAAAGTATTTCTTATCCTTTTTACCACAGGGTTGGCACTAGAAGCTTTCTTTGGGCCCATGGTGGCTTATTTAGCACTTACAAGCACTAAAAACACTGGAATACAAAATTTATCGAAAGTATGTGTGCAAACGTCCGCCCTGGCTTGTAAACAGTGTCATACTAGCTCAGCTGAGGTGCTCAGGCCAGATGGACTAGACAGCCACGTTCGGGACAAATGATGTAAGTCGAGTTTTTCAAGTCGGGGGTCCACTGTATATACATAAGCACTGGAAATACCAATGATGTTGGATGTTGATATGAACAGGACCAGACAAAACAATACAGGGTTTAAGAGAATGTACAGAACTTATACTTATCCACTTGGGTAGACCTTACGAGAAGTTTAACTGGCATACAAATGAAAAATGGCTCAGATTAATAACTGTAGTTTACAATTATAAAAGGTACCTTAAAGCTTGGAAGCAGGGGTAAAAATATTAGAGAAAACTATTAATCTTGTCCCACAAAAATCTACTAACACCCAGATACCTACTTACTGCTAGGTGAATAGGGACAGCAGATGTAAAGAAACATGCCCAATGTTTCCACCTGTGCCAGGAGCTGAACCACAGAATCAGTGTGCGAGGCGGGTACGTTGCCAACTGAGGTAATTTACACGTTACTGAAGAAGACAATTGTAACAGTCCCAAAAAGTGTGTCAACTGTATCAACCATAGCTCAGTTGGTAGCGCACTCAGCTCACTGAGGTCCATGGTTCAATCCCCGGTATGGGGAAAAACACTGTTTCCTTACAACACCTACTGTCCCTATTCACCTAGGAGTAATATAGATGCCCAAGAGTTAGCCAACTGATGTGGGTCGCATCTTGGGGACAAAATTAACTTAATTTGCCCGATTATTATTATTATAATAATCAAGGGAGAAGCGCTAAACCCGGTGGATTATACAGCGCCTGGGGGGGGATGTGGAAGGCATTCAGGCTTAATTCGGGGAACTGGAGCACAGATTCAATTCCCTAAATCAAGAGCCCCTCACCAACATCAAGGAACCTTCCTTGAGGGGTTAATTTGCCCGAAATGTTCTGCATAACAAGAGACTTTATATGCAGTGTCGTATGTATATGTATGTATATTTTATGTATATGTATGTATAATGTATATGTATACTGTATGTATAATGTATGTGAATGTATATGTATGCATATTTATATTTGTGTATGTATATATTTATATATGTGTATGTATGTATGCATATTTATATTTTATGTATGTATATGTATATATACATATTAAATAAGCAACGCTTGGTGGGATTTAATTTTTATACTGGTCTAAATAGCTATAATGTTTAGACGATGTAATTACGGTACATTAATCCTAGTAGCATATTGACTCAAGAAAGTATAACATCTTTAATAATCATTAAAAAACAGGCCACATATAATTAAATACAAAGACCTACGAAAATTGAATTATCCTCAAAACATATTACACATTAATACGAGGTAAGTACTACAGTATTATGTACCTGTCACTGTAACTCGGGGAGCTTTCTGTATGAACTCTTTCTTTTCGTCCTTACTAAGTTTTCCATTGGGAAAACTGTCGCACTTTTTGCCCTTTTTGAGCTTTTGACAACCAGCTCCACCTCTCCGGCAGCTGCCATGTTGGACGACCTGTCGCACTACTCAGATACATGCTTAATTTATATTTAACCCTTATTTACCTTTATAAATCTCATTTCTGTATATTAATTATCAAGTAAATAAAGTCCTAAGTTATCCGACAGTTTTCTTTATGTGAATAATTATGATATAGTTGCTGATATTAAAATTCACAGTAAATTGAATATTAAAATTCTTGTTCTTTTAAAAAAAAGGAGGTTTATTTAAGCTCATTAATTATTATTAAGTCCATGGCAGGAAGCTCTAAATATGTATGGGGTATGGGGCAATCAGGTATATAATCAAAGAAAAGGGAGATCAAGTCTAGTTTTTTGAATAAAGAGCCCCTCACCGGCGTATATGAACCTTTAAAGGGTCCAGTCAACAATTAAACCAAATAATTCCAATATACCTATATGGCAGTTTACAGTCAAATATTTAAAAAAAATCAAACAAAGTTTAGATACGTACTGCAATAATTTTTCCCAGCCATGTGTAGTGATGTGGCTCAACTTTATTATTAATGGATTTTTAATTAGATTTTTAATTGAATCACAGAATGCCTCCAATATAGTATAAACTAAGTATTCCTATTCCCATGTACTATGTGTCTCATTATCGATTATTATTATTATTATATAATAATCAAGGGGAAGCGCTAAACCCGGAGGATTATACAGCGCCTGGGGGGGGATATGGAAGGCATTCAGACTTAATTCGGGGATTATTATTATAATCAAAAAGAAGCGCTAAGCCACAAGGGCTTAATTCGGGGAACTGAAGCACAGATCAAATTCCCTAAATCAAGAGCCCCTCACCAACATCAAGGAACCTTCCTTGAGGGGTCTCATTGTCGAGAATCATAATTAATGGGGTGCATATTATAATTATAATCATGGGGAGCGCTAAACAATGGGGTGCATAATAAACATATTAAACTAAAAACTTGTATAACCAGCTTTCTAATTATTATAGTCAAAAAGAAGCGCTAAATCACAAGAGCATCAGCTTTCTAAAAAAAGTTTACGCATTGTAAATTACCATAATTGTACTTTATAGTACTCCACTTTATAGAGATAAAATAATTAAGCGCTAAACCCACAAGGGTCATACAGTGCTCCTGTTTTCAGAAAAAAAAAAGGTGTATGCATACGCAAAACTAAAAATATTATAATCTAGCGGAAGCGCTAAACCCGTAGGATTATACAGTGCCTGTGGGGGGGTGGAAGGTGTTCAGGCTTAATTCAGGGAACTGGAGCACAGATCCAATTCCCTACATCAAGAGCCCCTCACCAGCGTCAAGGAGCCTCCCTTGTGGGGAAATACTATTATAATACGCTGGAAATACACGTCACTGACATTTTTGGAAGTTATCCTAGGTAATTTACACATTACTTGTATAATTTGTGTAACTGTGTACCGCAAAACTCGTAGAGATTATACAGCGCCTGCATTGGGTGGGGGGAAGGAATGGAAGGCATTCACTTAATTCAGATTATTATTATAATCAAAAAGAAGCGCTAAGCCACAAGGACTATACAGCAACTTAATTCAGAGAATTGGAGCAGATCCAATTCCCTAGATCAAGAGCCCCTAGGAACCTCCCTTACCTGGAGTTTACCTGGAGGGGGTTTCAGGGGTCAACGCCCCCATGGCTTGGTCCGAGACCAGGCCTCACGGTGAATCGAGGGGTGCACATGATTAATGTTTCATCCTCCTAGGTGGGAAGTCTGATCCAAGGTACTGCAGTTACCCTCCATTATTTTATACACAAGTGTTAAGCACTAAACCTGTAGGGTTACATAGTGCCTAAAGCTGTGCTTTTCTTAGATTAAAACTAATTACCTCCCATTCGTCAGGCATTGTTTGATCCATATTGGCTATGCACTTAACTATGAATATTATATTACTTATGATGCATTACCATCGTTACTTTCATGGAGTGCTATACCTGTAGGGATCACAGCACCTAGGGAAATTGGAGGTGATCAGGTTTAGTCCAAGAAAAGGAAGGTCAGGTCCAATTCTTTGCCTCAGGAGCCTATCTTTGTATCAAGGCACATCTTGGTCTGGTGGTAACTTGAAGCACACTTCAAGTGAACATATCTTTACCTTCAAGTCCTTCCATCAAAGATGTTTCCAGTTATTTGTTCTTATCACTTCTGTAATTGAGGAAATTTAGAGCACTGTTGTGTGAAGAGGTGAAGAAGAGAATACATTACCGTTTATTCATGGAAAGGTGCTACACCCATAAGGATAATACAGCACCTAGGGATTGGCAGGGAGGAGAGGGTAACAATATCTGATGCAAGGAAAAGTTGAGTAGCTCCACTTCCTTGAATCAACTCTTTCACTTGCATTCCCTTTTCCCCTTGAAGGGAGAAGGTAGAGTAGTGAGTAGCATAAATGGTGACTTTCAAGGATATTGTTTAGTGAAGGGTCAGTTAAGGGTGAATAAAAAAAAAATGCCAGGTATATAACATTTGACCACCACTTCCTGATCTACAGGAAGTTTCTATTCAGCTCCAGAAGTTTATAGGAGAGGTAAAGGGGTGGCAGTCTGACAAATAAAACGTACCATACCCCCGGCCGGGATTGAACCCGCGGTCATAGAGTCTCAAAACTCCAGCCCGTCACGTTAGCCACTAGACCAGCTAGCCACAATAAGATTCATCCAACTAGGTATATTTCTACACCATAGGAAGGTTAGCACAGGCACCACTGTGACCACAAATGCAAGTTTTTACAGACGAATCTCCAGCTAGCGTGGCCGTGACGAACTCTAGCTCAAGTCCCTTCACTGCCGTCAACATGACTCAAGAAATCGTAATGACACGATTGCAAACAAACCATACCCCCGGCCGGGATTGAACCCGCGGTCATAGAGTCTCAAAACTCCAGCCCGTCGCGTTAGCCACTAGACCAGCTAGCCACAATAAGATTCATCCAACTAGGTACATGTATATTTCTACACCATAGGAAGGTTAGCACAGGCACCACTGTGACCACAAATGCAAGTTTTTACAGACGAATCTCCAGCTAGCGTGGCCGTGACGAACTCTAGCTCAAGTCCCTTCACTGCCGTCAACATGACTCAAGAAATCGTAATGAATGACACGATTGCAAACAAACCATAACCCCGGCCGGGATTGAACCCGCGGTCATAGAGTCTCAAAACTCCAGCCCGTCGCGTTAGCCACTAGACCAGCTAGCCACAATAAGATTCATCCAACTAGGTATATTTCTACACCATAGGAAGGTTAGCACAGGCACCACTGTGACCACAAATGCAAGTTTTTACAGACGAATCTCCAGCTAGCGTGGCCGTGACGAACTCTAGCTCAAGTCCCTTCACTGCCGTCAACATGACTCAAGAAATCGTAATGACACGATTGCAAACAAACCATACCCCCGGCCGGGATTGAACCCGCGGTCATATTTCTTGAGTCATGTTGACGGCAGTGAAGGGACTTGAGCTAGAGTTCGTCACAGCCACGCTAGCTGGAGATTCGTCTGTAAAAACTTACATTTGTGGTCACAGTGGTGCCTGTGCTAACCTTCCTATGGTGTAGAAATATACCTAGTTGGATGAATCTTATTGTGGCTAGCTGGTCTAGTGGCTAACGCGACGGGCTGGAGTTTTGAGACTCTATGACCGCGGGTTCAATCCCGGCCGGGGGTATGGTTTGTTTGCAATCGTGTCATTACGATTTCTTGAGTCAAATAAAACGTATATATACGTTTGGGGCACTAGCGGTAAAAACGTATATACTATACGTTTGGACCGTTTACGGGTTAAAGAAATGTCTACCAGTAGGATGTAGCTCCATAGGCACATCTAACTTCTAGGTGAGGAGAGACAGGCAAATACGTAAGTGGAGCAGCTCATAGCATCTATAAAGACTGCTGCTTCTACCAAGAAAAGGTGGCTATCAAAGTGTGCTGACATGACAGTGCAGATGGCCCTACAAACTGCAACATCCCTACCTTTCTTTCAGAGTGCAGGCACTGTACTTCACACCTCCAGGACTCATGTCTAACTAACTGGCTTCCTTGAATCCTTACATAGCTGTTACCATGCTCACACTTTCATAGCACATCAAGTCATAACAACCACTTGCCTCCACTCACTCCCCTCTAACAAGCTTATGCAAACCTGTTGGATATTCCAGCCCCTAGCACTCAAAACAAAGAATATATTCATTTAATCTTGGCTCATCAAATCATAACATGATTGCAAACAAACCATGGAACAGGTAGACCAGCTGGCCCAGTGGCTTATGCACTGGCCTGAAGTTCTACAACTCAATTGCCATGGGTTCTAACCACACCCATTCCATGGTATGTTCATGTAATAACTATATCAAGGACAAAAAATACATAACACTGAAAAGTTATTGGATATTAATTATATACTTTTAAATGTATCAATTCAATTTGTTAACATTAAAATAGTATCACTTTCAATGTACTGTACAATATTTACATTTCTCTTTTAAACTACTTTCCAAGGAAAATGATATAAAGTAACTGCATAGACAACTGTCAGACTATATGTGCTTTCAATGAGGCACTAGCTTCTGAGGTGCTCAAAGAACTGAAATTATAACAGCATTTTTTACATATGGAATATTTAACTTGTATACCACCTCTCCTCATTTAGCGACATACTCGTTTACTGATGACTCGGACTTATGACAGGCTCTCTGACCAATGTGCATACCTAAATAATGCATATTAGAGCTAATTTCCTCTATTCTGATTATTACAATATACAGTACATTACTGTATAAACATTTAAAAATATACCAGAAATGTTATGAATGGTGCAAAGGTGACATTAACCCTTAAACTGTCCAAACAAATTTACGTTCGCATGCGTAGTGCTCCAAAAGTAGATCTACGTTTTTTTACATATTTTCAAATATAACAAAAAAAAAAGTAGATCAAAGTTTTTTTTACACGTTTTCAAATGCAAAAAAAAAAAAAAAAAAAAAAAAAA